CCGTAGGACTATCTTTAAACACACAGTGGTGCGGCAAGTAACAAGACTCGAATTCATCTGAAGGCTGATGAGTGGCCAGTCTCATGTGTCCCAACGCACGGTATTGGGTCATAAACTCTGAGTACTGTGTCCTCAGCTCCGGGTTGCGATCGAAACGTTTCTCCAAAGCTCGAAAGCGTTTCAAAGCAATGGACCTTGAATCACCGAGATGTCGTAATATATTTTGTTTGAACGGCAACTTGACTATGTATTGACCTTGCTCATTTTTAGAAACGTTAGCTAGGAAATGCTCTTCACAAATTTTCTGTTCGATGGTGTATGGAGTAGGGTTATTGCTAACGTCATCGATTTGCCAAAATCTAGCGATCTGATTGTGGAGCTCAAAATTGCTTACTGAAGTATGAAGCGATTGAACGGTTTGGACGCGTGTCGCAGTGGTATTCGTACGGCCCGCCAAAATCCAGCCGAGTCTTGTCTTTTGCAACGTCGGGTGCTCGCTAGAAGCCTTTATTTGACCTATACATACGAGGTTCCAAAAAATCTCCGCCCCGACTAATATATCAATCTTCGAAGATACGTGGAATTTAGGATCGGCTAATTGAATGTTACGAGGTAACTTAAATGCTAATCGCGTTATGGTGAAGGACGGAAGGTCCTCTGCTACGCGGTTAGTGACAATGCAATCAATCGCAGCGGAATAAGAACCTACGGTGGAAGTTAGCTTAATTCGAACCGCTTGATGCGAGTGCGTGGTGGTGCCATTTATGCCCGAAATGGCAACGTTCACCGGGCGTGAGGCCAATCCCAAGGAGTCCAGACAATCGCGTGAAATGAGGTTGGCTTGAGAGCCAGAATCTAGCAATACTTTGCACGATTTCTGCGAACCATCCTTGCCCTGTACGAAGACCACTGCTGTAGAAAGTAGTACGTGCCCGCCATTAGTAATGTTAGAGGCATGAGCGCCCACCTTATCTGAGGCCCCTGTAGAAGCCGACTCACGCACAGAAACCTCCTCTCCTTCGTTCTCACCAACCTTAGGCAAATTTGATGGCGTCGAAGTATGTAGCAATGTGTTGTGCTTACGGGAACAGGTTCTACAATTCCCTGGTGGACATTTGTTGGCAGTATGATCGGTTGATCTGAGACAATTCAAACAGATTTTTCGGGAGCGAATCTCTGCCATCCTTTTGGTAATCGGCAATGCTAGAAACGATTTACATTGGTAAATAGAGTGTTCACCTTGACAATAGTAACACTTCAAATTGACAGACGCGTTACACAGAGCCTTTTGCTTGTTAATTGAAGGATGCAGTGATGAGGCATTTTTTACAACAGAATTGGATGACTTACCCGTGGTTTCGAGAACTTGGCAACGATGGGCTAAAAATTCAAGAAACTGTTTCAAAGTGGGCAAATCCGAACCCTTGAGAGATGACTGCCACTCCCGCGCTGTAACCGTATCAAGCTTAGAAGTAAGAAGGTAGACTAGTAGATCATCCCAGGCATCGGTAGGACGTTTCAACGCCTTTAACGCATGTATGTGTCGAGTGGCACCATCAGCTATTTGCCTCAACTCTAAAACGTTCTCTCTGCTCATGACCGGTAGCTCGAGAATGTGCCTGAGATGATTTTGAACTATCACTCGCTTATTGTCATACCTCTCTTTTAAAAGGTTCCATGCAACTTGATAATTCGCATCTGATATTTCGAGGGAGCTTATTACCTTACTTGCATCACCGGTGACTGCTGTTTTCAAGTATTGTAATTTATGAACATTGCTAAGCGAGGGATTCGCATGTATAATGGCATGGAAGGTATCGTGAAAAGGAAACCATTCATCGTACTTCCCTGAAAATTTAGGAAGATCTAGTTTTGGCAATCTGACATTAAAGAGCGATTCTGGCGCTTCAGAGACCTCGGACAGCGTCGGTGAAGCCGCTGCCGCACTTCGCTGGCTAGAAGCGTTTCGCGTATATAGCCGTATTTTAGCTGCTAAACTGTAAAAAGCTTCCTCGAAAGCGACTCTGTCAGTGATCTCAGAGTCGTCTTCCGCCTCAATTTGCGTTTGCACACTACTATATTCAGACCAATGTTGGTCTAACCTTGTCTTGCGCTCCTCAAGTTCCGACACTATTACAGGAGTCAAAGAAGAAATACCTTCCACGAAGGTTTTAAT